CAAAAGGCTGCCAGCATTACCTCTTTATTTCCAATTGTGTTCTCCACGTTATCTACCTGATTGAGTCTGTGGAGTGCTGTTTTGATTAAATCCCTGCTTTATTCGGCGCGTCTTTGGCTCTTCGGGAAGGGATCGTGATATTTTCAGAAAGCTTTTCCGAGATCTTAATCTACTTGGCTGAACTTTTTGGTCATACAAGAGGTGTCTTCGATCCGTCTCCTGCTTCTTTCGTTTTATCTCTGACTTGACCTGCCTTTTAATAGCAGATGGAGCGATTCCAACTATAGGGTAGACCTCTTCGATAGGTGTCGGTTTCAGGCCACCAGATATTATACGAACCGTTTTTTCTTGATATCTTGATAGTAATATTGATAGAGTTCTATCTAGACGTACGCCGAGGTATTTTGGCGTCTCATTGTGTTCCAGCATGTGACCACGTCATTTCACCTCCAGTATCCTTCTTGAATGCTTGTTTCTAAGATGGAAAGCGCACACCTGGGTTTTTATAGGATCGGATTTCAGATGGTTTTCGTCATAGTATAATGCTAAGTCTTCTAGGAAATCTCTCAGTTTTACTTCGACTTCATTGAAATTACTTCCCGGAGCTGCCACAGCTGTATCATCTGCGTAAATAAACTGTCTTGTTTGTTGGTTTTTGGGTTGGTCGTTGGTGTAAATGTTGTATAGCAATGGCGCGAGGACACTTACCTGTAGGAGTCCATTTTTTGATCTCTCCACCGACTGTTCTTGGACTGGAGCTTTACGTAGAAGCGTCTATTCTGAAGAAGATATTTCATTAATATTGTATTCTATATCTATATCTATTCTATATCTACGTAGAAGCGTCTATTCTGAAGACGATATTTCATAAATCCATTGTAATTTCGTAGAGTTTTACCAGCAGCCGTTGATGGTTAACTGTGTCATAGACGGCATTCAGGTCTATGAACGCTACTCCTCTTATTTCTTTCCGTTCAAACCCATCTTCAATATGTTGGGTAGGATTAATAGTTTGACTGCAGTAGCATTTTCCGGGTCTAAACCTTGCTTATTCAGGAATAATTTTTGTGTCCACAGATTCAGCGATCCGGTTCAGTATCATTCTTTCGAACGCCTTGAAAAGGTGACTCAAAAGAGAGACAGGTCTAAATTTCTTTGTATTCGCCGCATCCTTTCCTGGTTTTAAGAAGGCCACCACTCTAGCTTTCCTCCAGATTTTGGGGATTTAGAATGTACGGACGCAACAGTTCATCATTTTTACGAGCCACTCTAGGGTTTTTGGTCCAAAGTGCTTTATTTGTTCCGTTCGTATATCGTCTAGGCCAGCAGCTCGATTATCTTTCATTAGGTGGATTGCACCTCTGATCTCCTCCCGGCAATAGGAAGTACCTAGAACATCCTCTTCCTCGTCGATATTTCGTTGTACTTTCACTTTGTTCTTTCTTGATGTCGTCATACCATTTGTCAGCAGACGATGGGCTATCTGATCGGGTGTGACTTTTGTCAGCCATATTTGTTTTACAATTTGTACAAATTTATCGTATGAATCAGAGCACGGTTCTAGCTGGAAAACTTCTTGATCTAAAGCTTCAGCGAATTTTTCCCATTTTGTTTTTATTTTTGGCATGTTTTTAGAAGATATAACGTACATATATACCAAACAAATATCTTTGGTTGCTATTAGTACTCTTTCTATTGATAGACTACATAATTTAATATCGTTTTGAAATAAAAAGAGTAGACTAATTTATTTTTTTTACATCATAAGGTTATTAGTCGACTTCCGCTCATTGGCAAAGAAACATATTTTCTTACTTGACGCCAATAATCGAATTCAAAATGTCCTTGAATTCATGATAGCACGTGATTTCGGCTACATTTTGCCACTTCGGAAGCGTGATTTTGGATGACTAATTCCATTTAATATTTGCCAGACTACATAATTACAGCAATAGACCATAATAGCCGAAACCAAATGTCAAAAAGTGAAAAAAATAGTAATAGGATCGAATTCATTGTAAAAGGAACAAAATCTAATAAAGTTTAAGGCAAAATAATTTACTGGTGATTTTAGGTCGGTAAGTGGAGGAGGGTGAGTTTTTAATGTTTACCACGATTTTCAGCTAAAGTCAAAGTCCAATGGAAAAAAGTTAAACAGCAAATTATTAGGTAATAAAAAGATCTACAACTTTTTTTTTAACAGTTTTTTCACATAATTTCAAAATTTATGTGAAAAATTCAAATAACCGAGTTTATGGTTTTTTATTTTTATCTTAACAAATTTTTTTTTCGTTCCACAAAATTTCATGAATAGTTACCTTGTGCCCAATGACAGCGTAATTTTTTGATTTCAAATATTGTTCGCTTTATGTTATGTTAGATTTAATATCGAAAAAGCACCATAATTTTCAATTGAAAATTCTTCGTGAAAATATCTGTTTTTCTCATAAAATGCGAAAATAAACTCAAATTCGAACTTTATTTTTAATCATTTTATAAAATTTTAAGTAATTTTTGAAAATTTATTTATATCGTCGGTCTAAACCGCACTTATTGTATCTCCAAAAACCCATTTTTTGGTAATCGCAAATTTAATGTTCAGAAAGGTGTCCACATTATCTACAGTAGAATTAATTATGTTTCAAATTCATAATATTGAATGAAAAACAAGGCATACTTATTATGTTTATTGATTTTAAAAGAACTTTACTTGTAGTAGTAACTTTTACTTGATTAACTGTAAAACTGACTGGAGATACAATATGTCGTGTATCCTACATTTTAAAGAACAACCATTGTGTCTTCTTACATAAAACAGCTAAACTACTAGCCACTGTTTGAATACCGTTTACTAAAGTAAAATTTATTGCAACTTATAATAAGAAAATCATTATTATTAGATATATAGGTATTTAATATTATTTTGTAGTAATAAAAATTATAGTATACCCGTACCCGAATGTCTCTCTCTCTCTCTCTTCAATCCTGACCCCCCAGTGGGAGTGTAGTGGTCGACGTGATGTCGTGTATTGTCCGTCTCCAGAGATCTCTATCTCTGGTCACTTCTTTTAATTCATGCATAGGTCTTTGGCATATTCACCTTTATGCATTCACCTTTATGTATAAACAATTTAAATGAAACCACTGTTTAATTTCGCATCATAATTATTGAATCGGTATTATTTTATGAACATTAGTTAGGTTATAAGCTAAGTAACTCCGTAATACTAAACTCGCTCATAAAAAAATCAAAACTATAGGTATCATTCTCCATCTTCATCAGATCCTAATGGTAAGTTTAGTTTTTTCTTGTTCTTACCATTTGTCTCTTTATTTGTACAAGGAAGACTCTCGAAAAAAACCTAAATACGTCTTTGGTATTACTCCTTCCAGTAGAAGACACAGTAAATGTTTTTTCTTAGCTGCAGTTACTGGTATTTTTTACTTATATTTCGGCTTGGGAGAAATGGCATTCCAATCGAAAATCTTTTTAAGTTGCTTCCTATTCAACTGAAGTTTCGCTACGTCAATTTCTAAGAAATTTTCATCACTCAAATTATACTTATACTGTATAGTATAGTGCTTATTTTTTTTTTTTTTTTTTAACGAAACCAATGTATCTTTAACCACTTAACTATGTGGACGTCCTTATTTTTATCTGCAGGCGAAAAATAATTAATATTTTCTGTTATATTTGTTATAATCTTAGAATCGAGATCTTTCAACTCATAAACATCGGAAAATCGTTTGAACACTTTGTAAGCATTCGGTTTTCTTCTTGCCATCTCGATAAGTATAGCCCATTCTGGAAGCGATATATTTTTTCTGTTTTCTAGCTCTTTCTATCGTAGAATGTGTGGAATCGGCTTCTAAATATGAGTGACCCGATTCCATGTATTTGAGATCCACTATTTGTAAATGTTTTATTTTGTTCACAGCATACAACATTAAAGGACAAAAGCGAATTTCGTATCTGATTGCCGCGTTCAAAAAGCAAGTGATTGGTCTGTGCTGTGTTTTTGGGAGGGCCCTTCCAACAATTTTTGTCACCTGGTCTCCAATCCTGTCGCTGACAAATATATTGTCTGGGTTGTAACCTCTGCGCTATTTTCCACTGTTAAAAGACGCAGGATGTTTGGAATCATGAATAAGTTTGAGGTTCATGTTTTCAGCCCAATTTTCTAGTTCTTCACCATTGGAGTCTGTTTCGATATATCCATACGCGATACTGTGACAGTTGAAGTCAGCCAGTATAAATTTTATTTGCTGTGATTGGAAGTTATCCGGATCCTCAAAAACAAAGTCAGCGTTTAGCGGTTTGTAGGTAGACCTTACTGTACAAGACTTTAGTTCCACTGTGAAGATCTCGATGTCATCTCGATATGTTAAAGAAGTAGAAACTATGTCGGTATCTGGTCTGACGAAGACTGCGCTACCATACTGGTCGTGTGGTCTCTCCAGTACAAGTCTCATATCTCGAATCGTTGGTCTGCGGCTTGCAGTACCTCGATGGGTTTCTTGAACCAGTAGGCCTCCTTTACAAAACGGTGGTCTATTCATACATTCAGTTTTAGAGTATAACTAATACCTTAATTTAGAAATCCCTTTGTGATAACTTTCGTCGCTTCATTCTATCCGTTATTCTAATAAAGTTCAATCAAATGATAATTTTTGTCAAGTGCCCTTAATTAAATGCTGGATTGAAATAGCTAATTTATATGTTCATTGTTTATTATACCCATGCTTATGTGAAATTATCTAAAATCGTGTATTTAGGCCATTACTAAATAATTCTTCGACAAGCTATAAAAGTTATAGGATGTTTACTAATTTTTGATAATTTAATGCTTCCGTCGCTCTGCCGGGTATTTGCTTTATACACCCAAGATCAGAGATAAAAGACTACAAAAAGGCGATAAGACTGTAAGAATTGTTAGGAGTATTCAATATAAAGAGAGAATAGGCAACGAGGATTTTGAATAAAACAAACTTATAATTATCTCAGTGTATATTTTATAATAAAATTTATAAAATAAAATATGTAGTAACAATAACACAATGTTACATATGTTAAAAAACATAAAATCTTACACAAGTAGTTTAGTTTTTCAACAATCACTTGGTCAAGAAACGTTTTTGGCAGACAACGAAAGGATATCATTGACTAAAGTTTGTCATACTAACTGTGATGTCTCGAATACACATCTTAAGATTATAAGTGGTTTAAGGGTTACAAAAATAATTCATTTAATTTTATCAAGTGGTTGTAGAAAAAATTTTGATTGTATTGCGGGCAAAAAATAACATTTTTGTTCATAAGTAATCGCGAATAACTGTTTTCTTCAGTAATAATTTATCACATTTTTGCTCAAATGCATAATTACTAAATAATACTGGAAATTTATATTATTATAATAATTATAAAGCTACATAATCTAATATAGCTACTTTGTAGAAGAATTTGAATCGATTAAATTAGTACAATACTGTCAAAAACTATTCAAAATTAAGACAAAGTTTTCATTAAAATAATGGCGTTAAAGTATTACTTTTAAGAGTACAAAATCCACACATAATTTTCGAAAATATGTTTAAATAGAAATAAATAAATAATAAGATCATATCTCTACTTTTATGTCATCATGTTGTCACATTACCTTCAGCGCTTTCCTTCTAGTACATACTGTATTTCTTTAAAACTTTTACCTTTTGTTTCAGGCACTATAAATACTACAAACAAAATAGAAAGAACTGAAGTTATCCCGAATATCCAAAACGTGTACGGCCTACCAACCGCATCCGATAAATATGGAAAACCTAAAGTAACTAGAAAGGCCAGTAAGAGGCAAACACATGTCGACAAACTGGCAGCCATTGCTTTGATGTTACTAGAAAATAGTTCTCCACACACTGTCAAAGGTAATGTACCAAATCCAAAGTTAAATGATACGAAAAATACAATAAGACTAAGAATAGGTAGCCAGAATATGGCGTCTGTATTAAAATTGTTTTCTTGACAAAAGAAAAATGCTCCTAAAGCTGCTAATGATATAGTACAACCAACATTGGAAGATAGTAAAAGTACTTTTCTTCCTAATCTATCTACTAAAAGAGTGGAAAATATGTTGGAAATGATCTGAACACCTCCTAATATTAACGAGGCTGTATTCGAATTAATGCTAGTCTTAGCAGCTTCGAAAATAGATTGCATATAATTCAGCACTGCCATAAAACCTAATAATTGTTGAAACATCAGAAGTCCACAGGTAATAGTCAAACCTTTTCTAGCTGCTTTAGTGGAATAGATCTCTCTCCAATCTGATTTCTTTTCCTTATTTTCATTTATAACTTCTTCGAGATATGCTAATTCTTCATGCACCTTACTGGTAGTTCTTATTTTCTTCAAGCACGCTTCAGCCTCTTTATCTAACTTTTTAGCCACGAAGTAATAAGGACTCTCAGGTATAAAAGGTATAAACATTACGTAGAACAGTATTATCGGAATTAATTGAAGATAGGCGAACATTTGAATAGAAACGACAGGTCCAATAGCGTAAACAATAAAATATCCTATTGCTCCCATAATACCCATAATGCACCCTAGCAATCCTCTATTCGAATCTTCAGAAATTTCTGCAACGTAACTTGGTAATACAGCTAAGGTACATCCACAACTTATTCCAAGGAAAAATCTAGTTACATAAAACACAGTCACTGACTTAGCTAGTGCTATACCTATATAACAGAATAAAAACGGTAAGCTAAATATGATCAGTGTTTTCTTTCTACCCAGTTTCTGAGACACAAAACCAGCTATAATTGTTCCTGGGACGCTCGTAAAAGTTGGTAAAGAAGCTATTAATGACTTTTCAGTTGTTGTTATAGGCCGTCCAAGAGGATTCACATCTGGATCCAAGCTTTCCAGTTTTAGTAGAGATGGAGAAGCCCATGACATGGTTATTCCTGTCGCTAACGTCAGAATGTTAACTAAAAATAAATTTTCAATCAGTAAAAACTGAAGACTAAAAATAATCTTAAGGGTTACTCATAAGGTTACTTAAGTATAAACTAGCGATTTTTCTCGTCGGCATGCAACGGAGGATTGCAGAGTATGCGGCACTTGGAAATGGGAAAATTTATATCTCGATAGCATTGTCAGCTCCTCACACTTTGACGTTACACATTACGTCGAGAAATCTAGAGTATTCACTGTCATAGCTTCATTATTATCAGCTGGTCGGCGCCAGTAATTCGCCATTTCAAATAAAAATTAAATCTCAAATTAATTTACAAATTAATAAAAATTATTAAATAAAAAGTTTTGGGAATTGAGACCGTAATCTATGACTTCGTAGGAAAACCTGCTAACACTTTGCTATGTGGACAATTGACAATAGTTATCGAGAATAGGTATACAAAAAGCAGGGTGAGATATTAAGTGACCAATATTTTTGGTAATTTTTCGAAAAAATTAACTACTGAAGAAGTAGTAAAATTTACGAGTAAGGATAATTGAATCACCAATTTGTAGAATTGTCCACTTATTATACGCAAGGGAGAAACCTCTAGGAATAATCAACATAATAAAAGTAAAGTAGAAGAAGTCCTCTATTGTTCAACCTGATTATGGATGAAATAATAAAAAAAAAGAACTAAAAAAGATACCGAATGGGAGAAAAACAACTTAAAATAATCTGCTATGCAGACGACGCAATACTCCTTTCTGGAAGTGAAAAAGATTTACAAAGTACGCTGCACAAATTTAATATAACCTCCAGAAAAATGAACATGTTAATTTCTCCAAAAAAAGCAAAATGCATGATTATAGCAAATTTTTTAAGATGTAAATTGGAACTGGAAGATCAGATAATAGAACAAATGATGGCGTTTAAATATTTAGGCATCACATTATGTAGCTACGAAAAGCTCGAAACACAAGTTGAATAACAAGTGAATAGAACAAACGTTGCCTAAATATAACAATATGGAGAAATAAAAATATAAAGAAGAAAATGAAAGGCAGAATTTACAAAACGGTTATCAGACCAATAATGACATACGTGACAGAAACACGACCTACACAACCACGCAGAGCGAGGACGAAAAGGATAGCAGAGATGAGAACACTTAAAAAAATTTATGGTAAAATGGAACAGAGCTAGAAGTACACGACCTAGATGCGAGGTGGAAAACATCAAGGACTGGGTAAGGAAAAAAAGTAGAATGGAACTATTATATATGCCGAATGACAACAAATAGAGTAGTGAAGACGGTAAGAGGCGGTTCCCCAATAGGAATACGATCAGTAGAAAGACCACGAAAACGATGGAACGCAGCCAGTAAAGAAGCAGCAAATATTGGTTAATCGCACTACGCAGTACTGCTAGAGGTATGGAATGGTTCTGAAGACAAAAAAACAAAAATCATGATTGTCAGTAAGAACAATATTGAAGACGAAACAATCTACTTTAAAGGAGAAGTTTCACTTCTTCTAAATGTGCCTATCTTCTAGAGATGTTGGCAACTACATTGACCCGTCTTATTATATTCACAGCAGCTCGAAATAGATCAGTTGCTCCTAAAATTGGCCAGCCAGAATATACGTCTACGTCCAGGGCATCTCTTACCTTCAGTCTTGCCTCGTAGAATCAAGTGGAAGTCGGTATTTATCATTACTTATGATGGGGCTGAAGTAAGGCCAATGTTCTGTTTTTTTATGGTGTTATTAATTTCTTTGTCTTTTCTTAGACTCTGGAGAATAGTTACGTTACTTGTGTGGTGTATATATGGGACCCTTAACATACGTCGGTAGCACCACATTTCAAATGCCTCTAATCTTTTTATGGCATCTTCTGTAAGGCTCCAGCTTTCTACTCCATTGAGAAGGACACTAAATATGTAACATCTAAAAATTCTTACGCATATATTGATACCTAAAGATAAGTTGTAGAGAATTTTCCTAAGGTTGTTAAAAGAGCTTCTTCTTCTTCTTCTTAAGGTGCCGTGCATTTCTGCGTAGGCGTCCACCATACATCATCTTGACAGGTGAGATGTTAAATATTCAGAATTAAATAATTCTGTTTTTAGCGGCATTGCGAAGCATTTCATAGTTGTGGATTCCTGTCCATTGTCGAATATTGCGCAGCCATGACATTTTTTTACATCCCAGGACTCTCCTACCCTCTATCTCCCCTTCGAGTATCAGTTGCTGAAAAGTGTATCTTTCTCCTCGTAATATGTGCCCGAAGTATGCAGTCTTCTTACTTTTGACATAACTAAAAAGTTCCCTGTCCTGTAAGCCCGCTCTTCTGAGTACTTCCTTATTTCTGACCCTGTCCGTCCATGATATTCTAAGCATTCGACGCAGGCACCACATTTCAAATACTTCAAGTTTGTTAATGGAACTGGCCTTTAACGTCCATGCTTCCATTTCGCATAGGAGAACAGGCCACACGTAACACTTAAGCATCTTGTATCGAAGGTCCAATTTGCGATCAGTCAGCAACTTACGAAGCCTCAAAAAAGCATTTCTGGCTTGTTCAACTCTGCTCTTTATTTCATTCTCGGGGTCCCAACCCTCGTTCAGCAAACAATTCAAGTAACTCCGAGCTACACTTGCAACAGTTAGATCATTTAAAAGGCATTAAAGATCTTCGATGTTATCTGCCACTATGGATGTATCATCGGCATACCTGATGTTATTAATAAATATGCCGTTAACTTTAATACCCTTATTAGAGTCTGCCACTGCTTCTGCGAAGGATTTTTCTACGTATAAATTGAACAGCATTGGAGACAGTATACAACCTTGCCTTACTCCTTTTTTAATGGAGAAATCTTCTGTTTCGTTGAAATTTTGAAGACTTACTGTTGCTGTCTGGTTCCAATACAGATTGGCGATAATTCTTATATCCTTGGCATCCAATCCCAACTCTTGTAGGTATTTTATCATTAATTCGTGTTTTACATTATCGAATGCTTTCTCGTATTCGATGAAACAGACAAAAATATCCTTTCTTTTATTTAAACAATTCTGTATTAATGTTTGCATACTGAAGATCGCTTCTCTCGTGCCAATTCCATTTTTGAAACCAAACTGACTCCATTTACTGACCTCTTCACATTTCTTAAACAATCTAGTGTGAAGTATTCTCAGGCAAATTTTAAAAAGTAACTCATTAGGCTTATTAGTTGGTGGTCCTTGCAGAAGTTCGCACGTGGTGTTTTTGGTAGGTCGATAAATGTAGATCGAAGCCAATCTTTTGGAATCTGGCCCGTATCGTAGATGTCGTTAAAGAGCTTGATGTCTAGGTTCTCTTCATTAAGTAACTTAATTGTTTCTGCGTACATATCATCTGGTCCTGCGGTTTTGTTACTTTTTCATAGTTTGATAGCGTGTACAATTTCAGCTTTCATAATACTTGGGCCATACAAATGGTCTCCCTGTTATGGTGGTTTTTGTGTTCTGTCATCATTGAACAAATTGGCTGTGTACATTTTCCAAGTATTAAGTATATCGCAAGGGTCCGTTATTAGTTCATTTTGGTCATTATGTAAACCAGTGACTTGTTTTTTCTTGAAGACACCAGCAATTTCCTTAATTTTCTTGTGAAGATTGAAGCTGTCGCCGTGTTTATATAGGTTTTCAGCCTCGGTGCAGAGGCTGATTTATCCAGATCTCCTTCGCTGTTATATTTTCTTTACGAATTTGACTGTGTATATTTCGGTACCCTACTTGGTCCTGCCTAATCTTACACTGCCTGCGTTGTTCCATCATCTCCAATATTTCTTCTGTCATCCACTCATTCTTGGTAGTTGTTTTACTCTCGAGTAGAAAAGTGTTGTTCGCTTCATCAAATGATTCTTTTATGGTGGTCCATGACTTTTCAACATCATCCTCAATTGCCATATTAGAGAACCTATTGTTTATTTTCTCTGCGTACGCTTCACTTTTTCACTGTTTTTGAGTTTCCTAATGTTTACTTATGCCTTCTGGTGTTTTCTTTTAGCTGAAGCGAGCCTCAGTTTAATATTTGCCACTACGGGATTGTGGTCGGATCCTATGTCTGCTCCAGGTAATGCAGATACCTTAGTAATAGCATTCCTGTACCTTCTACTAATTGTCACATAATCTATTTGGTTCCTTATAATGCCCTGATGTCCGTCTAAAGGCGACTTCCATGTGTAAAGCCTCCTGGGTGGTAACTTATACCAAGTATTCGTTATGACTGGATATTTGTCTTGGCAGTACTGTATCAATCTGTCCCCTCTGTCGTTTCTCTAACCAAGACCATATTTTCCAAATACGTGATCTACGGCTCCTTACCCAATTTTTGCGTTAGTCTTCTAATACGATGTTAATTTCGTAATTCTTAGTCACCTTTAAGGCTTCGTTAGGTTGTTGATAAAATCGCTCTAGTTCTTCTTCTGGCTTGTCTGCTGTAGGGGAGTAGACTTGTATAATATTTATGTTAACTTTTCCATGCAACTCAATAAGTATAACTCTTTCTGAGATCGGGACAAAGTTCTTCACGGAGACGCGCAAATTTTGGCTTATTAGAACTCCCACCCCATGTCTGTGGTGAGGTCTGTGCTATCACTGCATGAGTAGTAAAGGGTTTTACCTGTAGTATTGATCATGTCTGTGCCTTCTCATCGCAATTCGCTTATACCGAGAATATCGATGTTAATTCTGTTCATTTCCTGAATTAGATTTTGTAGTTTGCCTTCGGCAAATAAGCTCCTGACATTCCACGTAGCAATTTTGGTTATCTTATCAAGTTGAAAGAGCTTCTGACGTATCTATATTCCTATCATTCATTTCATTTTTTAGTTCTCAACTAAGCAATGTTAGATTAGGTTTAAATTGTTAGTTTTTAACTAAGCAGAATTAGATTAGGTGTATTAAGTGCCAGTAGTTGATCTGTTAGTACGGTGCGGTCCCAGCATAACTTATAGTTGTCATTCTCAAGCATACTGTCAGGTATATATTGATAATAACGAAAATGGTTGGTTTGGAGAAGTCCCAGTTTTTTGACTATCTTTCATACCGTTCTTTATAATCACTTACTTCTTTATAACTAGTAGGATAGTTCCTTGAGCTTGACATTTTAGGCAGTTTTTGGTTTCAATTACCTTACACAGAATAGGTCCAATTTGAACAAATTGGAGGTGTTCGCATGGTAGGATGCTATCGCAGCATTCTCAAGGGCTTGCACAATGAAGTTGTTCTTACAATGATGAGGAAGCTTATAATACAAGACAAAAGCTTTTATGGTGCAATATCAGGATATGGATCTCACGGTGGAAGACTTATTTTGCGCAACAACCACAAAGAAAGATTTTAAAAAATTGTAAACATGTTGACGTCCACGGTCTGATTATAGACACGGACATGTTAAAGAAGCATAAGAAGCAAGTTAAGCAAAACTAAAGCTTACCTGTAAAAGCCGCCCAATGAAGGAAGTAGTTTGTCTTGCCAGACATGTTGAACTGAAAACTACAATAAAAAAAGTTAATTTTATAATAATTATAAATATTTCCATAGTGTTGCATAAAAACGTTATATATAAACAATTTTACTAATAATTTAGTAAAATAAGTATATCTTCGCTTATTGTTCTACTTGGACTTTTTAGTAGTAGTTATAAAACATTAACGTTACTAAAGTTATCGCATATACACATAAAGTAATCATGATAATTAAAATTATAAGGAATAAAAATGATATAAATGGGATGAAAACTAAATAGGTATATACTATTAGAGTAAATGAAAGGTAGAGAAGGAAAACCAAAGTCTAGAGTCGTTGATATGGCTAAGACAAAGGATGCGGAACATGTGTTTTATTTAGCAACATTCGAAAGTACTCATACCATCTTTGCTTTATTTTAACATAGGTTCTTAACACTCTTCCATCTGCACTCTAAATCTGGGGAACGTGGGTTAAGTATTTTGATGAATTGTTTCTTGCTTTAGCAAGGCTGTATAACTTTTTTTGTCCAACATGGGTATTCCCAACACTTACAGCTGAACAGACGATCTTTCCTTAGCAGTAGCTACAGCACACTTTGCTTCCCTTTTTGCTAACTTGTATATATACTTTTTTTTTTAATGTAATTTAAAAATAATCGAGGCCTTCGAACTCTGGTTATACCGCAGAGTATTGAAAATATCATGGACTGATAGAATTACAAATAAAGAAGTACTGGAGAGGATTGGTAAAGAAACAGAACTGATCACCACTTTACAAACCAGAAAACTGGAATGCCTAGGCCACGTGATGAGGGGACCAAAATATGAAATTTTGAGACTGATAATACAGAGAAAGATTCAAGGAAGAAGATCTGTTACTCGAAGGCAGAACTCATGGTAAAAGAATCTACGTGATTGATATCAATGTAGATCGATTGATTTGTTTAGAGCAGCAAGTTCTAAAATAAAGATAGCCATTATGATTGCCAACCTCCGTAGGTAGACGGCACTCTAAGAAGAAGAATATATCTTTATCTTATCCAAGGTGTGTCCAGTTTAAAGTATTTGTCTGAGTTCAACCAAATTTACTGCTACAGCAGGTTAGTTAATGTTGATTTGTCTTTATCTAAACCTCTACAAACTAAAATTATTCACATTATGAAAAACAAACCGAGGTAGTACAAAAAATGGAAATTGTAGTATTCGGTACATATATGGTTGTTTTCGGTGGGAATTCCTCAGCTTTCTGATTACTGATCATCAAGATCTTCTATCGGTAACCTCATCAATTAGCCTATATTTGTCCACTGCTGAACGTAGGCCTCCCGTAAAATTTTCAACCTATTTCTATCTTGAGCTTCTTACATCCAGTTTGTGGTGATACGCTTGATATCATCTGTCCATTTAGTCGATGGTCGTCCTCTGCTTCGATATGCCTCTTGCCTTGTTCGCCATTCCAGAATGTTTTTGGTCCATCTATCATCCGTTAATCTGGCAACATGTCCGACCCAAACCAATTTAGCCATGGCTATTTTTTCACATGCATCTATGACTCCCGTTCTTCTTCTTATTTCTAGCTGTGGTACTTTATATTATATTATATTTATATTACTCTGATAGTAATACCTAATATTGATCTTTCCATCGGTAACCGGCATCTATCTAAATTGTGCACGAATCACCTAAACAAGCCAGAAAATGCTTCAAAAACCTACTATACTGATAAATTTGTTTCTTGCTAGAAGTACCCTTTTCAGAACTTATCGTCAAAGTACCTATTGATGAAAGCAGGCAAATTTCAATTGCTAAAGCACATTGAAACAATATATTCTGAACAAACCTATAAAAAATATATAAAATAAATTTCACTTTATTGAAATAAAGACATGGAAAAGATCTGACTCTGATCTGGTTACAAATATGATATAAATATTTACAATGGAAATGAAACTAAAAAATTTAAAGGTACTTTAAGTGCAAGAGTCGTGGATATACTCTTAAGTACGATAGACGATGATAATGTTTAAGCTTTTGGCAGATTTTCCACTACTGTAAAACTACTTCATGTAATCAATTTTCCAGTCATTGGAACTGCCGTAAAAAAAAACAGAAAACTATGCATTTTCTCAATAATAAGTAACACAATAAGTAGGAATATGTTTCCAAAGGATACATTTCCCGCTAAGTCTATCTAAGGATGTAACAGTTTTTCAGGCGGAAATAACTGAAATTCATCACTGCGTAGAAGAAATACATAGAAAGGCAGGAAAGCACGTTCTGTTCAGTTGCCATCTTCACAGATAGTCAGGCAACGCTTAAGGCACTCAATTCTAAGCTAGCATGGAATTGCGTATGTGGTCTAAATAAACTAGGAGACCGTAGCAAGGTTACGGTAGCCTGGGTACCGGGGCACAAGGGTCATAAGGGCAATGAAAAAGCAGATAAAATGGTCAAACAAGGCTTATCAATTCCATTCATTGGACCGGAACCCTTCTGCGGCGTTGCAAACTCAGTAACAAGAATGGCTACAAAGAATTGACTAGCTCACAAATCTCTGGAATGGTGGATGAACTCACCAGGACAAAGACAGGCGAAACAGTTCATTACAGAACATTCGCCAAAATTTACGGCAGACCTAATAAGCAAAGACAGGAAAACAGTCAAAGCCATAGTAGGTCTTCTAACAGAGCACTATAAGCTGAATAGGCATTTGAAGCTGATGGGATTATCAGATGATGATCTGTGCAGATTCTGTTACCTCAAAGAAGAAACAGCAGAACATATTTTATGTCAGTCTGGCAAATGGGTGGTTTTTTGCATTAGGAGAAGAAAATCCACCGGCAAATAGCTGCATGGAAGGTACAGTCTCGAAGCTACTAGACTTTATAAAAAGGGTCAGGCTAGAGAATGTTATCTAAGACTAAAGGACCACAATAGATCTGAAAAGGCCGCAGTGGAATAGGTCGAAAGGCCACCTCTCTTTATCTAATCTAATCTAAAGGCTATAAGGAACAAAATGACAAGGCACTAAGGAAGTATTGTTATCGAGCAATTGCCACACAGGAAACTTAACCACTATAAAATGTTTAAGAACTTTATGTAACTGCCTGGACTTAAATATAAAGTTGCTTAAATGGTTAAAAAAGTGTTCTTTAGACTCACAATGGTAGGTGTTCTCAATAGTTGGACTATTTACAACCAACTGAACGGAAAGAAATGTACGTTCAATAATATTTTACTTACAATAGATAAAAATGTAGTAACTAAAGAAAGAAGTTCTATCAAAGTTCAAGCTCGAAAAAAATCTATAGGAAAACCTTCAAAGACAACGGAGAATATTGTAAATGTGGAAGATCATTTACCAATCATAGAAAAACCTCGTCGTCGTTGTACAATGTGTTCTTAAAAGATAAATAAAAACTTAAATATGGTATAAAATTCCACGAGGAATCTAAGTTCCTGTAGCTGGCTGTATACCATATATCACAAAAAAATTTTGTTTAAAATCCTTTATAAAAGGTATATAAAAATGCCTCAAACGGGCTATCACAAACACATTGCAAAACGTTTTCGGATTAAACAATCCATCATCAGTGCAAACGGTTGTACATGCTAGTAGCCACCAAAATATATGGGTAAAAACCCTTTAAATGTTATAAATTTGAACCTATCCAACGGTAACTTAACCATCACAAATTAGAAATACTAATAATGTAAAACAACTTCAAATTTATAACATTTAAAGGGTTTTTTACCCATATATTTTGGTGGCTACTAGCATGTACAACCGTTTGCACTGATGATGGATTTAATCCGAAAACGTTTTGCAATGTGTTTGTGATAGCCCGTTTGAAGCATTTTTATATACCTTTTATAAAGGATTTTAAACAAATTTTTTTTTTAAATATGGTATGTTAAAAAATTTACTCCATACTATTTGTAGAAATGTTTTCTTGATTATATTTTGAACTATTACTGGCTATATTCAAACAAAAACTAAAATGTCGAAACCCGTTGAAAAATTTTTATTTCAATACCATTGTGATATATCGTCCAACTAAAACAAATCACTGAAACAATATATCCCAGGATAAAAGTACTCTAAATTAAATAAAAAACTAATGAGATCAAAAATATCCACCGAACCACATTATATAACCAAATAATAATGATTAGTTTTTGGTGTGAAAAAAAGTGGGGTCGAAAGGGTTAAGAAGGAACTAGAACTAATATAAACCTTTAAATAAATATTTAAATCATGGAAAGATGAGGCAAAAAAACTAAACTTTACTAAGATACGTTGGAGATAAACGTATAAGGAAAAATAATTCCCTGGCTGAGAAATCCGAAAAAACGGTAAAAAATATATACAAGAATAAAGATATAAAATGAAAGCAAAATAATTGTTGAATATGAGCACCAAAAAGGTAATTAAGAAGTTTAGTAGTAATTTCTAAACAAAATCAATTGTCAAACGTTACAAAATATTAAGGAAGTTTTACGCTTAGAGTTAGTATGACACTAATTAAACGTATATTACGTATATTAAACATATATTTGAATATTATTTCCTTATAGTAAAAAATGTTACCTTTATCTCACAATCAGCTTTAATTGTCTGGTAAAGGGACAGAAACAAATTCTGCATAACTAAATCGTTAACTTAATTTTAGTGTTAATTTATAAAAAAAAATTAAATGTACAAACACTCATTGGCATTTTAAAACAGATCCGTATTTGCCTCATCTACTTAATTGAACGACTACCTACTTTAGTATGGAAATAACTAAACAACTTGAAAATGAAACAACAAATATATTTAAAATACTAGTAGTTTAATGCTACTTCCTATCTTTAATTGGAATTAAAATCAATTTCAGTTGAAAATAGGTTTATTTTGGTGTTTCGATTTCCGAAGTGGAATTTTAACTATCAACATAAACAGAAAAAAGAAAAAGACAGTGAATATTTGATTTCACGTATAGTGTGTCTGTGTATCTGTTTATACGTATTTCGACCTAATAG